AGGAGCTGTGAACTGAAGCAGCCTGAGAGTTTAGGGTAGAGCAGAGGATGAGAGGGGCCAGAATGCTAGCGTGGACTTGGACATACACGTGAATGGGGAATCTGTAGGCAAGGGAAAACAAAGGAGGGGCTCCTTTTGGCAGACAGAAAACTCATTTCCCAGATCCTGAGTAATTCCATAGGAGAACTTTTACCAGCGATCCTTCTGTGGTGCCACTTGACCTGGGTTAAGACTGTCATTTTGGGGTTATTCACTGCTTTGGGGGGAACTGGGGTTCCATTTGGACCTGATATGTGGGGCCAGGATCTGACGGTACATAGCTGGATGCATGAATATGTTGAACGGCAGGTGCTGTTAAGTGTTCAGGAGAAAATGAGGCGGGGGCAGGGATAGGCTCATCTTTGTTGGGTGTGAGCTGTTATTTTAGGTAGGGTGCTCAAGGGTGGCGGCAGCGAGTGGGTGCTAGAAGAAAGGATGGGTGCAGGAGGAGCAAACAAGTACCCAGATGCAAGCCAGTGACCCTTGAGAGCGGAGGGTGGCAGGCATATTGGTGGGGAGGTGGCCACAAGTGAGAAGTGGAGGGAACAGACAGAGACTACGGATCAGCTGGGTCAGATTATGGAGGGTCCTATATTCTTCTTTCTCACCGTTCTTCTTCTTCTCAGAATTTATATCACGTGATATTGGGTACGTGGCTTTTTATTTGTTGAGAATCATTCCCATGTTGCAGAAAATGGGTTACAAAAGGCAGGCTTTTGAACTTCACACCACACCAGGGCTTGAGTCACATTACAAACTCAACTTCAGTGGACAACTGAATGTGTGAAGAGGAGGGGTCTATAACAAAAAGCTGCGAAGAGGAAAAACGGCGTGTTGAATTTGGCAGAAGGGCATCTTCTTGTCCAGTGCCTTTTTCAAGCCCTTGACAATTATGTGTACCCAGTGGGAGTAAAAGCACAAAGGAAAAGAAGAAAAAAACAGATAAAATGATGCCTTCCAGTTCCTGAGTTTCCTAGCAACAGGCGCTGCACAGCCTGTGGTACCCCACCCTGTCTGCTCTTTGTCCTGACTCAGTCCTTTTACATAGAGACTTTACAAAGTGAGCAGCTGATATTGTCACTGGCCTGCCTGGCAGGAGCAAACACTTTCTGGAGAGACACCGGCTTCCCTGCAAGCCATCAGAAACAATGGATTCCAGAAAATTTGAATTTCCCTAGAAATCTGCGGAGAGAGGAAGTGGCTAAAACCCTGGGTGAATCCCCTGGAGGAACTGGTCTCATGGAGAAAGATTTAAAATTTAAAAGGAAAGATTGGGAGCTGAGACAATGGTAGGCAGGGACTTGCTAGACTGTAGTTACATTTCCTGCCTTCTGTTTTTAAGCCGAGCCTTATGTCAGGACCCCAGAGATGGACTTAGGGTGTCACCAGATCACTTTGTTCCCCTTCAAAATGTGGCCACATTGAATACATCTCCTTTTTCTATTTTCTACTCTTTATTAATTTGACTTTTGTTCTTTTATACTCCCTTCTTTTTTTGTTGTTCGTTTTTGTTTTTGGCTCACTGTGTGGCTTTAGACCTGGCTGGTCCAGAACTCATCCACATTTGCCTTCCTCTGCTAAATGGAGTGCTGAAAAGGCATGCCCCACTACTTTTCGCCGAATTTGCTCTTTTAGGTTGATTATTAAAGAGGAAAGGCGGCCCACCTAACCCACCTCTGCTGCTTTTTACCTCTACTTGTTGAAGCAGAACAGAGCTCAAACTTTCAGACTTTGATTTGCAGTCTCAAGAAAGTTTGGCCCTTGGTAAATTTCTCCTCTCTCAGTCTACCACAGACTTTGCTTTTCTGTTTGCTTTTGGGTTCTTTTAAGCAGTTTCAGGTTCTTGTCTACCATTTGGTGTGGCTGCCATTTGATGACTGGCTTTTGATAAGTTTAAATGTTCCAGTAGTAATGCCACCGAGGGTGGCCGGATTAGTAATTCCAGGTTTAATCTGAAAAAAAGCAAAGCAACTCCTGGGTGACCCTTGGAAAAGCAGGGGAGGAATCACATAGCAAATTTGGCTACCAGGTTTTGTGTAGCCTGTAGGTCAGCCTCAGGGAGGGGCTGACTTTTAGTGGGCTTTCTCAAGGGAGGCATTTGGAATGGGGCCCCTAGCTGGAGATCCCCAACATCCTAACCTTTTTGGGTATATATGGAAGGTAGTAGGGCTTCCAACTACACAGCTTTTTTTTTTTTTTTTGGACTTCTATTGCCCAGGGGATATTATTATTAAATAGAGAAACACAAATCTCAGTTGTCTTGGAAACCTGTGCCTGAAATGTTACTAAAAAAAGATTTAAAGAGAAAGATCACTGACTCAAATCATCATGGTCAAATTAACTAAAGCAAACTTTTTTATTTGCATACAAGTGATACTTCCATTTACGGTGGATTTTGAGAGGTCAGCATTGAACATTGGATGTAGGAAGATAAGATTTTTAAAGCTTACGGATAGAGGGGTTTCCAAATAAGGGATTTAGTGGGCAAAATAGGGTTATAGGAGCAGAGCACAAGCATAACAACTTAGTCATAACAACAAGTAGTCATAACAACCTTTGGAAAACAAAGGTAGGGTTGCAAGATGGTTTTGTTTTTGTTTTTTTTGTTTTTTTGGTTTTTTTTTTTTTGGTTTTTCAAGATAGGGTTTCTCTGTAGCTTTGGAACCTGTCCTGGAACTAGCTCTTGTAGACCAGGCTGGTCTCGAATTCACAAAGATCTGCCAGCCTCTGCCTCCCAAGTGCTGGGATTAAAGGCATGCACCACCACCGCCCGGGTGCAAGATGGTTTTGAAACAAAGACATGGTTGCCATTTCCTGGAACAACCAATACAGATCTATTCATAGTTAAGGTTACAGCTGGGGCACAGCCCAATCCTAGAGAAACAGCAGTTTAACCATAAACAAAATAAATGAGTCTAGTGTGTCTTTACTATAAGATGGCTTTCAATTCTCAGATGGGAGCAGGCTGGTTCATCACTGAAACCATGACTGGCCATTCCTGCCATTGGAAAGCACATCTCATGACAAATGCACAGACCTGTGCACTGTTGAGACAGGATAATGTTTGCATCAGGATAGTTGCCGAGAGATAATGCATTGTGTTGTATGTGATGCCATGCAGTTCAATATTTTAATATCTAAATATGTTGCTGGGGATTCAGGGTTCCCTTTGGGGTTCTCAGTCTTGATGGAATGGGAATTTGGAAACAGGACTCAGAAGGAAACTTGAGATCACTTAGCTTGAGAGAAAGGCAAAACAAGTCAGCTTGGGAATAAAGTTTGTACAAAGTTTGGTGGAGGAATGGGAGTCTCCAAAGTATGGACAAAAATGCCCAATATCAGGACAGATATGCTTAGGATAAGATAAAAAGAAGGGAATGGACATGTTAGAATTTGGGTTTTGTTATTCTTATTTGTTTTTATTTTGTTTTCCTTGGAGCTCAAGAGAGCAGTCAAGCTAACCAATAAAAATGGTAAACAATGCACTGTGGGAGAGACAGCAGCAGGTGAGGTTACCCTTCCCAGAGTAGATTGTGGTGTCAAGTTGCCACCCTAGACCTGAGCAATCAAATTCAGATTCTGTTCCTGTGAAAAGGGGAAGTAGTTTTTTCTTAATGCGGTGGGGCAGGCCCTACTACCTTGCCCTCCTTTTCCTATGGTATTTGGATCTTGAGAAAGGGCTGTTGCGGTAGGTACTTGTCTTTTTGTGTGTGGTTTTCCTTTTTGTGTGTATATGAGAGAGGTTTCTTGTGGTCCAGTCTTTCTATAGTACCACAGCCAATGAAGGGGGCGAGCGTGTCTTTTTAGAATGAGTTTCTACCCCGGTAGCTGAAAAACAACTGTTTGTCCCTACCTGGAAAGCTCTTCTTTCTGTTTAAATGAAATAGAGAAGGAAAGTGATGGACAGCTGGAGTCATGCAGTTGCTAGGCTACAAGGGTGCCCATTTAACCCGTGTCCAGACAGTGCGGTTTCCAAAGTACTGCGCACACATCCGCCTTTGTTTGCTGGAAGCGGGGAGGAGGCAGCTTGATGTCTTGTCCTCAGGGTGTTTGGTGAGCAGGTGTGTATGGGTGAGGCGCACAAAGGAAACTCACTGTGAAGAGGCTTCAGAGTACAAAGCTGTTTCCAGGCCTCACGGCAAGTGTCACAGTGTGATCTCAACAGGGGCAGAGAGGAACTTTACCTTGTCTCTGCTGTCTCATTTTCTTCAGTCATTAATTTTTTAACTACTTACTTTCCTACCTTGACAAGATTTACAAGACAGATAGACGCATCGTTCTGCGCCCCCCCCCCCCAAGGACATACTCATTTATCTCTCCCTTCCCCGTGTCCCTCATCTCATCTGTGGAACTGTCTTCCGGAAATGAAATGTGAGTTTGGTCCAGTGAGCCCTTTAAAAGGGATCCTGGAGAATTCCCAGTGTGATGAGGGGTTATGGTTTACAAATTTAAGAAGTTCTCCCCTCCCCCAACTCACTTACATACTGCCTCGCGATCTGCCTGCCTCTGTTTCCGGTGTCCTAGTGGTGCGCTAGAATTAACGATGGGCCCCACCCCGCCAGCAGTCAACCTCCCCCCATTTTTCTTGCAATGATGTTGAGGTCCTACTCTGTCACAGTTGCGTGGGATGACCCTCGTCCAAACTACACGGGCTTCCCATTTTTTCCTGGTGAATCAAATGCTTGACTCGTTTGCTGGAGGCACTGTTACCACCATGTACAAGATCAATTTCGGAACTAAGTAGGACTTTTAGAAAACACCCTCTAAGAGATGTAACAGGAGTGAGCATGCCATTGCAAAGGCAGTCGTTTTGGAAGCGCGCAGCAGTGTAGCTGTCTCCAGTGTCTTCGTGCCGGCACCTCATGGCCTCCCTTCTCCGACAGGGGTGGTGCTTTGCCAGCCATTGCTGGACTCTGTCCATTGTTTTTGCACAGTTTAAAATGAAGACTTTTTTTTTTCAGGTTTGGAGTAAAACGAGTGCCGAGGACTCACTGAAACAAGAAGGAGCGGAAGCGCCTCTCGCAAAAACAGGTAAGCGGAAGTAGATGGCTGGAGAGGCAATGCTGTTTTCAGGGTGACGGTCTTTCACAGCGGTCGGAAGGTTTTCAGCAGTTTGAACTTAAATGAATTGTTGTTCTAGAAGAAGGGGAAAGGCTGAAAAGAGAATTTGCTTTTGACACAGCAGAGTCACCTGGCTGGGAACAGTGTGCCCTACACTGACACACTGTCTTAAACTCCCACAGGCTTGAGCCAGGCCACGCTGAGTTCTCTTTGGAATTTTACCAAGGATTGGCATCAAGTCTATAATTTTTAAAATCTGGTTTAAAATTATAATGGTTTCCCCACTTTCAGTCTTCTAACCCCTGTCCTGCATTTATGATTTCTCTGAGAACCCTAAAAAAACATCTCAATAAGTCTCTTCATTCTTTATTTTGTGTGCGTGGGATGTAGTATATTTCAGGGGAGATTTGAACTTACAGCAGAAAGTTGTCCTCTAACAGTGTTCAAGGCAGCAGTGGTCCCCGGGTAGGTTCCCTGGGGAAAACATCACGCTTCTTAGTGGCCAGTCATCATCATCACAGTGGTTCTCTCACATCAGGCTGTCGTTATGCATTCTGTATTTTAATAGTCCATCACTGGGACTAAACTACACACACACATACACACACACACACACACACACACACACACACACACGCACTTTCACTGTCATGACCACTGTTCTTGATTTCTGTTCTTTTGTTTGTTTTTGTTTTGTCTTGTTTGAGACAGAGTCTCCTGGCTGGTGTGGGGCTGTGAAACCAGGCTAGCCTCAGATTTGCAGAATTCTATTTGCCTCTTGAGGATGGAACTCAAGGTGTGCACCACCGCACAACTGTCCTTATCCAAAGCTAAATTTCAGAGTTCTTCTTAGTCTCCTTGGTAATCCCCAGTTATGTATTTGTCTTTGTTATTCCTAGCACTTTTTTTTTTCCATTCACACCATCATTTATTTTGTGGTCGATTTCCTCAGTAACCTCTCCTCCCTGTCCCCCGTCCCCTGTTGCCTGTAATCTGTCAGCTGTGTGTTCACCACTTCCCGTTTGAGCTCCTCAGTGAGGCCCTAAGTAATCACAGTTTTTCTTTTTCATCTCAATTAACATGATTTTTAATTCTACAGCCAGCATTTTTTGGGTAGTAATCTCTTAATTTTAAAGGCAACATTTTAATTTTAATGCCAGTTTTTATAGATGTTTCCAAGTATTACTTTGTCATCAAGTATGGTTCCAATTTGTGATGGGAAAGCTACTAATATAATTTTGATTTTAAAATTCATATTTAATTTCAAATACTCATTCTAGGTTTGGCAAGAATGAATTGTGAAATGTTTCCAATGGTTATAATTACGAATCAGTTGACTGTTGCTAAATTGTTTTACTTTGAATACAAGTCAGCAAGCAATGTGAGGGCTGCCAATCATGCACTTAGAGAACCTGTCAGTCCCCTGTTTTCTTTTAAGTTTTCCTTGAGGAAACTCGGTGGGTCCTCAGCATTTCCCACCATGTAAACCTTCCCCTGTTTCAATAAGGTCTTTAGTAGCAATAAAAAATGGCAGTGGTTAATTCTGGGAAACAAAGTATCAGGGATAGTCATTACCAAGAATTAAGGTAGAGCTAGATGTTAGAAACACACTCCACTAGACCATGGACTCCCGTTCCATACAGAAATTGTGGACTCTGAAGGAACCACTTATCTCTCTGAAACTATAATTCTGAGGATTCCCTAGAGAACAGATCTAGAAATTGCAGGCTTCTTCCTGCTTTAAAGGTCAGCTATCTCCTGGAGGGTCAAGTTTCATCCAGACTCATCAAATCTCTCTGAACCTGAATTCTGGGGAGTGGGATGTGAGAGGGAAGAGGTGGGTCCTCTTAGGGGAAGGTAGAGTAAGCATGGAATTTGAACAGACCGTATCTCATATCCAGACATTTGTAACAAGCATAGTAAAAAAAAAAAATCACAGAACAGAGGTTGCAGATACTCTTAGATTATTCTATACATTTATATATGCTTCATTAAATTGATTATAAATTATCTTAAGAATATGTTATAAATTGCCTTTAAATAGGCATAATTTAGAATTGGATGTTTAATACATATCCAAATTCTACAAGATAGTTAATGAGCTAGCTTTTTTTGGGTACAGTTTATTGTGTGCCATTCAGAATAATTTTGTCTATGTTCTTTTGAAGAAAAACAAGAGCTGCGTGATGATACTCTGGTAATGAAAAGCAAGCCTGCAGCGCCTAACTGGGAAAGGTGTGTATACTATTATCATACGGATTCCGAGCTAGTGTAATTATGCTGCTGGAAAAGTAATTATCAATGTGTAACTAGAAGAAGAAAGAAAATAATAGCAACAAAGGCAATTAAGAATGACACCAAGTTTTACAATAGGGAGCTGAAAGGATAAGAAATTCTCCTTTTCTGCAAAGCTTTTTATTTCTTGTGTGAGGGTTTGGGAATAATGGAAGGGAGCAGGCTTCACTTCCTGTTCACAATAGATAACCAACTCAAATTACTGTCCTGTCACCAAGAAGTGGGAGTCACACACATACAGGGTAAGAGTGTGAAATCATAGGGCTGATATTTTTCTGGGTAGCTCATTAGCTTATTGCCAAATATACCCATAATTATTATAATCCTGGAGTTCCCTTAACAGGAGGATTCTGCCATTTAGAAAATCAGCTAGATATTGTTGATATACATAGTGGGGTAAAAGGCTCTTTTCGAGAAAACAGGCACTTCGGCTTCCTGTATTCACCTCAGCTTCCTTGGGCCAGTCCGGGTGTTTTGCTGACCCCGCATCCTGCACTCCTTCCATTGCAGCCCTTTGAATTAAAGAGACAGTAGAGCTTTTCTGACGTTACTCCAGTATGCATGTCTAGCTCTGCCTGGCTACTCAGAAGCCTTCAGTATCCTTGTTTGAAGGTGACCTTGAAATGCCTCTGTGATACAGATTGCTTTTACTGGGCTTTTCCTTTTTGCCTCCACTCTGTTCTCCGGAGGTTCTACATTGCTTATAATTTTTATGTCCTTCCCTCTTTGGCCACACAACTTCCTGTTCTTGGATACTTGCATGCCTTCTGTCAGTCTGTGTGCCATCTGCCCTGCCCTCCCGTTACAGTTGGGTCTCAGATCAACGTTCTCTTCCTTGAGGTCTCCGTGACTCTCCTAGGCAGATGTGGGTGTCCACTGCCCCTGCTGCAGTGATCAGGTGATAAGACTGTTCCTTCAGCGTCCAAGGTTATTTGCTAAACACTTTGCTATTTCTGTTGCAGCTTGTTTGTTTCCTCTCTTTTCCTTAGAAATAAATCTAATTCTATAGAAATACATCCTGCCTTTTCATCCCCGTGTCTCTTTCCAGTGGCCAGGAAGGTGCCTATCTATAGTGGGCACTTTATTTATTTGAATAAATGATATACTTTTCCACTGGTGCTGTTTCCAAGCCTTTTGGTGAATGATTTAAATATAGGATTATTTGTTAAGATGTGAGTTAACACTTAAGATAGCTCCAGAAAGTAGAATATATGCAGAAATAAAAGGTGTTTGTGTGTGTGTGTGTATGACTGCTAGTTCTTGAAGTTCCTTTTTTGATGCTTTTGACCCAGGCTAGGTGGTGGTTAACACTTGGGAGGCAGAGGCAGGCAGATCTCTTGAATTCAAGACCAGCCTGGTCTAAGAGCCAGTTCCAAGACAACCAGGGCTACACAGAGAAACTTTATCTCAAAGCATACAAAAACCCCAAACCAAACCATTGGACCAGCCAACCAGACAAACAAAACACTGCTAACTTAGGGTAAAATGAACGTTAGAACTATAATCCAACTAAAGCAACCTTAATAGAAAAAAATGATCAAATCTGACCGTACCAGTGAGAAAGATGACCTTAATAACAATAATTATTAGATAATGCTTACTGAGCACTTAATGCTCAGTACTGAACTAAACTAGTTATGCATTTTATTTAATCCTCGGTATAATAATGTGAGATAGGCCCAGTTGTTAGTTGCTTCCTGTAGATAGATGCTAAGTAGGTGCTGTACCATTGAGCAATGTCTCCAGCCCTGTGAACATTGGACAGAAGAAAATCTTTCTTGGGCTCTAGCCTGAAATATTTCACCCTCACTCCCAACACCAGAAAGAATTTTCAGCAACCTTAAAATGCTTTTTTTTTTAAAAAAAAATCCTTAATAAAACTTCCATATAAAGGAGGTTTTAATTAGTGAGCATTAGGGCATTGTGTACCTATTCTTTAATAGATGATTAAACATTAGTTTATATAATGTCTTCATCTTACAATATCATCACAGAAAACTCTCCAAAGCTGAGGTTGGGATTTACAGATGTTATTGTGAAAGGATTAACATATGTTTCTTGCTACTTGAAAGTAAAACTCTCTCATCTGCCCTCTGTACCCGTTTTACCTCTGTCCATCTTTACCTCCTCCACTCTACCACCTCTGGTGTCTTGTGCTGTTGTTTAGACATAGCCAAGGCTTTGGTCTTCTGCCATACCACACTCTGTTATGCATGCTCACACCGACGGATAGACACATCAAGATCATTACTCTTCCCTAGAACATTCTTCCCTCGGATCTTCACTAGCCGTTTCTCTTGCAACCTTTGACTGATCTGTGTTTTGTTGTCATGCATCGTTGCAAGGGTCAAACTGAACTTATATCTCCTCCTGCAGAGAAGAGATGAGTGGTGTATGACTGTATTTATGAATAAGTTGTCACTGACCAAGGTGATATTGGTGTGGTAGTATACACCGGTAATCCTTGGGAAGTGGTCAAGAAAATCAGACATTCAAGACTGTCTGGGCTATATCATGAGTCCAAGGCCAGCCTGAGCTACATAAGACAGTGTCTCAAAACAGTTATAAATAATGAATGAATTATCACCAATTCTGTTCATTGGTGATATCCTAAAACTTTGAAGCAATGTATGAACATAAATTGTTATTACTGTATTAGACTTTGGTGTAATGACACATGTGAGAACTCTGAATGTGATACTAATGCCTGTACTGTGGCTTGCTGTGTATTGATTTTTCGTGTGCTGTGTGTGACTGGTTCTGAAATGGCTGTAATCTAATGTCGTTCTTCTTGACATCATAAGTACCAGCTTGCCCGGGGTGCAAATGGAAGACTTACATCCATGCTCTGGACACAAAGTCAGCTCTGTGGATGGTGATCGTCAGCTTTCTCCTCTGATGCCGTCTCAAAGCACATCTACCAAGGAAACAGCAAGGAAGCTAATGTCTAAGTTAAGGTAAACGGAATTACAAACTTTTCCACATGCTTTGTTTGAAGTAAGCAGAGACAAACCCTGTTTTGTTTTATTTTGATTTTCTATCAATTGAGATTCTTAAAATACGTTTAGTGAAATAATTTTATGACCTTCCTCCCTAACCATATTCGGTTAGATACACTACAGGTTAATGGTCCCTTGGAAGATGCTGTGGTCACTAACTGCCTATTTTTATATGGCCCAGCAGTATGATGGATGTAGATACATATGGTATTCTTCCCTCAAACGTAATAAAAAAGTTTTATTGAATTTCATAACCTCTTTTTTACTCACAAAGACATGCGTAGCATTCCCACAGCCTTTAAAACATCTATTTTTGTGATTTTGGATAAGGAACTTACAGAAAGTACAGTTTCCCTTTTTGGTCAGTTGAGTGTTAACGTTTGTAGACATGGTCACTGGAGGAAGTTAGGTGGCTTAAGCTCAACTCCTAAAGGAGAGACGGGGAAGGAGTGATGTTTGCAGGTTTCTCAGAATAGGGACTGATACAGATGGGACAGGCCTTTACCATCAGTACCATGGAAAACTGAGTTCAGAAGTGTGTTCTTAGGGAGCTGTCAAAGTGGAGGGCAGGGCTCTTCGCAGGAGTCCCACCCACTCAGTGGCATCATTGGTTTTGCTAGGTTTAAAGATTTGTTAAGTGAGGTGAGGAGCCTTGAGCCAGGAAGACCACAAAATCTATCCTTCCTGGAGAGATAGGTCCCTTAAGGTCTGAAGTTTCTTAGAAACTGAATCCCCTTGAAGAAGAGAGTTCTCAAAGAGTAGACAGTAGAAGGAAAGAGAAAGGCGAAAAGCCCCGTACTAGGGTTCAGATGCTGTCTTTTGAGGGAAAGGAGGCAGAGATCTACTCTGGACACAGACTCAGTCATGCAGCTCTATGGAGCCTCTGTGGCAGCACTGGGACTGAAGGGCTGTATCTTCTTGGATGTGGAGTCTGCACAAGCTTTCCTTCAGGAGTCAGGCCTAACAGCGGTCCTGCCCCAGGACATTGAAGGGCACTTGATTCTCTGCCATGGGACAAATAATTGATGGGGCAGTAAAGTCCTAGCCCTACCGTCCTCATAGCTCATGCTAGGCACCCACTGTGCCAGAGCTGGCAAACCTACAGTCATCTAGAAGGGAGACAGAAATACGACACACTCATCCGTGGACAGAAAATGAAGGTCACTAGTCGAGTGCCTTGGATGGATGGATGGATGGATGGATGGATGGACAGATAGATGGATGGATGGATAGATATGGATGTCAGCATCACACTGTCCTGCCAATCAGCAGAATGTCTGGAGGATCGCATTCTCCAATAGTTCTCTACTCTTTGCTAGCATTTTATAGAGCAGCATTTATTTTTCACCTTCAGCCTTGCAGTTAGGTAGTCATTGATTTAGCCTGGTTTATTTAATGATATTAAGATTTGGGTACATCAGCTGGTGACTTAGACTTGGTAATATGTAACCAATTCAATATATAGATATAGATATAGATATAGATATAGATATAGATATAGATATAGATATAGATATAGATAGTGTGTGTCCCTGTACATATCTAAATAAATATGCAAAGATCACTCAAAATGTGTGGATAGGATCACAAAATTAGTGATTGGGTCCTTGTTGAAAGTAAATCAGATTTTCTTGATAATAATAACTATCATGTTTGTGCCTTTATAATATTTTAGATATTGTCCAAGAACTATTAGCCTTAAAACCATGGATAAGTGGTATCTTTATCAGCACCCCAGGGGAGACCTGCCTGAGTGTGTGGTAACAGAGTTTGGATGAACTGTTACTTAACTCTCTTTTCCAGCTGGATAAACATCCTTTTCAAATCCCACATCTTTCCTATTTTTCACTTGGCTAGTCTTTTTTCTTCATGTAAGTATAACACTGGTACTGTTTATTGTAATGAATTACTTGTGCTCAAAGGGGGACAGTTTGATTGAGTGTCCCAAGTCTTTAAAGTGCATTCACTTCTGTTGTTAGGTGCCACTGGAATAGTAAGCCTTCCCAGAAACCATCTCCCTAGAGAACATGTAGACTCATCAGTGCTCACAGTCATTGTAATGAGCACTGATTCCTAGGGTGTTTCCAGGTCCACCCCCTTTGGAGTCCCTCGTGCGTTACAGCTGATTGTGTCCGCAGTAAGGAAACCTGAAATCGGAGAGGCTGAGGAGAGAGGTTACCCCTTGGAACGAAAAGCATCCTGAAAGAGTACCATAGGAGAAATGGGCCCATGCTAATAGTTTCAGGAAGTTTTAAGAACAGTTAGATGGTTATAATTAGACCTTACACGTAAGAATTTGTAACCTTCCCGTCCCCCGTTTAGTGTTTGACTTTTTGAGGTTGAATTAATTTTGCAGTAAAATGAGGTCTGAGTGTATGCAGTTTGGAAACTGAAGATTGCAGCATCACCTGTCTGTCTCCTGAGTCAGTTTTGAGGGACAGAATTCCCAAGGGAGGAGCTATTTAGCAGGCAACTTGCTTTAGGTGGGCACAAAAGGTTGAACACAGGGAGAGCCTCAGAAAGAAAACACTGCGCATGCTGGCGGCCATGTTTTGAGTTCATGTTCTCCTAGGAATGAAATACATATCGTGAGTCCAGTTAATCCCAGAAAAACCTGATGTCTGCTGGAAAATGAAGTACCTTCAGATCAGGGGACCCCACTGTCTGGGAAGACTAGCATCCATATGTGATTTCTTTTTTGTTGTTCTTTTTTATTGTTCTCATTATGCAACTCAAGATGATCTTGAAGTCACGCTCCCTGCTTCAGTTTTCCAAGTGTTCGGACTAAAAGCCATGCCACTACATTGGGTCCTTGTGAATTTTAAGAGTTGCTCTGCAGGCTCTAATGAAGGGAATCACTTTGGGTAGTTCGGCACCTGTGTCTTTGGTAGCCCTGAGGCAGTTGTTTTCTTCCTGGAGGCGCTCCGTGTTGAATTCTCTGTAGAAAAGAACGCTCACACAGGTGCTGGGCTTTCCTGGAATGGTTAGTTTCAGATTTCTAGGTATTGTGTATCTTTAAAGTATCTCTTCTGTTTCTGTCTCTGTCTGTCTGTTTCTCCTCCTCCACTCCCTCCCTCCCCCATCCCTTCTTGGTGGGAGTGTGTCTGTGGTATGTGTACCTTTATATATGTTGTGTTTACATGTTTGTTTTGTGTGTGTGTGTGTGTGTATGTGTGTGTGTGTGTAATTGTGCAGGTGCTTCTAGAACATTAAAATAAGTGGGGCACCATGTCTACCTGGCAGTTATGTGGGTGCAGGGGATCCAAACACCAGACTCCGTACTCCTCTTTTTACCCACTAAGCCCTCTACCCAGCCTTTTTTTCTTTTTCCTTCTTTTCTGTTGCTTCTCCTCCCCTCCTATTCTCTTTTGTCTCCTTTATTCTTCTAATAAACTTTTAATTTTGAAATAAATGATAAAATAAAATGTATGGTTTAAAAAAATAATACAAAAATAAAACTGCTTCCTTTAGTTGATTATCCTAATGACAGTATCTTAAAAAACTGCAGAGCAGAACCACAGTCGAGGTGTTAGTATAGACACAGGTGAGAGTCAGAGCATGGCCAGCACTGGGAAGCTCTTTACTGTTGCCGTTGTATAACCACACCCAAGCCCCTAACCCCACTCTGTTTTCTGACACTTTGATGTCAATGGTGGAAACAAAATATTTAATAGGAACTAACATCCGTCTTTGCCAGGAAGTTAAACACCTAAGAGAAGGACTGTGTTCTGATGGGCAGGTACTCTCTGCTCTGGGTGTCTTCCTAGGGAGATTCTTCTGTATTTCGTTCCTGAGTTTCAACTGTCATCAGAATTCGAGTGCACATCTGTGGAAGAACTCATAACAAATCCCAAGGTAAGTCTCAGAAATGAGTGAATTCAGTCTTCAGTGAAGAAAAGCCCAGAGTTTTACACCAAAGAGGCTTAGGAAGGCATTCGGTGGATGGAGACAGAGGTCCCGTACCAGGTATGTGATAAGGTGTTGTGATTACAGGCAGAGTAAGGCAGAGACAATCTCACAGACTGAGACAGTTGTTTGGAAAAACTTCCCTCTTGTCTTAGTGACTTTTCTATTTCTGTGATAAGACATCCTGACCAGGCAGCTCATAGAAGAAAGAGTTTATTTGGGGGTAAGCATTCAGAGAATGAGTCCATGACCATCATGGTGGAGGGCGTGGCAGCAGGCAGGCAAGTATTATAATGTTAGAGCGGTAACTGGCAGTTTCCATCCTGATCCACAAGTACAAGGCAGAGGCAGCTAACTGAGCCTGGCACAAAGTCCATCCCCAGTGACCCATCTCCACCAACAACGATACACCTCCTAATCCTCCCAATAGTTTCACCAAGGACCAAACGTGAGTCTGTGGAATCCATTCTCATTCCAGCTACCCCACTTTCTCCCACCAAACATATTTTCTGGTCTCACCCCCTGTATTGAGATGCTGAGTTTAGGGTCTCATAGATCAGCTATATCAGGTGCACAGAATTCTACTCTTTCTAACCGTCATGGGGAAGGATGAAGACAGTGCATTCATCAGAGCTCCTCTTGGAGACAGTGCCTTATAAGGTGGGAGAGAAAACATTGGTCAGCTACCTCAGATACAGGATGAGTCTCACACAGGTCTTGGTCTAAATCCAGTGGAGCTTAGCCTGTGAAAGGTGGTGATGAGTGAGGAGTCCATGTTCCAGGCAGGGGATAGAGTAGACATCCCAGACAGGAGTCTGAAAGGCCTTTCTCTATCACCATGGTCAGTGTTGATTGTAGGATTGGCATCTACACAAGGAAAGGCTCTCAGTGAAAAGAGCGTACGCTACTAATAGGATAGAGGTGTCATGTGCCCGGTTGATCCTGAGTGGTATCTTTAATGTTCTTTTCTGGAATTGTTGCTTGTTTCCCCATTTTCTTCTCTCATCTCAGCTCCTCTCATGGACTTCCACTGAATCACTTAATTGAGTTCCTTGCTGTCAGGGCCATCAGTGGTCTCTGGGCCGACAAATGCAATGTTTTCTTACTTGACTTCGCAGGGAACTTCAACCAAGTTTCCTCCTTTCTCCCTGAAGCCTCCATGGCCTTAAGCCTCTCACATCCTTGCTCTTTGCTTTCCTCCCTCCCCTCCCCCATCATCATTACAGTAACTACTTTCCATTTGAATTCTGAATGTTACCATGTCTAAGGGCCTCTTCCTGGTCCCCATTGCTTTCTCTGCTAAATACCATTTCAAGGTGACATCATCTAATCCCTTAACTGTCATCCAGTTTGATATGCAAGTAACTCTCAGTCAGTTTCCACACAAAACACACCTTCTTCACATTGCCTTTTGTCATTTCATTTCCCTTAACTTTAATTTGTTTTGTCTGCAGATTGTTAAACAACGCTGTGTTTATTATTTATGTAAGCTACTTTAGTTCTTTAAAGAAAATAGTAAAGTCAGGTTGGTTTAGTTCAATGACTCGACTTAATTAGGCCACACTTAAAACATCCCTAGAACCAATGTTGGCTGGTTCTAAGCTCGGATGCTTTTCTGTACTAGAAACATCAATGTTCTAACCATATTCCAGACAGATCACCATGTAAAACTAATGTCCTTTTCTGTTATTACTTATGAAAACAGCTGGAGCGATGCCCAGAGAGCACAAACGAAAAGCTCAAAACCTGTTTCAACAAGGTAAGCTTCCTTTCCATGCAGCCATTTATATCCTGAAATCTAAATGACCCTATGCTCCAGAGAGGAAATAATACACATTTTCAAATGTTAGGTTTGAAGGGAAATCAAATTTTCCTGTCCTTATGAAGACTTAGATTAATGTGTAGCGTATGCAGTGTCACAGAGTGACATCCTTTTGAATTCGAAAAGGCAAAAGTTCCCACAATAGAGCTTATGAGGCAGGGTGGGACTTGAATCTAAATAAGAAACAGAAAATTCTGAGTTATTAATAAATATATTCTCCAGATCTTTGAAACACTAGAATGAAACACAAATGGTCATGGAATCACAACAAAATAAAGAAGCTCCCAGGCAGTTTAAGCTTCTAAAAAGAAACTAATGTAAGATTGCTTACATAACAATTCACAAGTCTTATAATCTGCCTCCTCTTCAGCCAGCTATATACATACACATATGACCACTGCTTGCCAGTGTGGAACATTCTCAGAGACTCTTCTCTGGCAACTTGATGAGAAATACAGGTAAAGTTCCCTACATAAGCCTAGTCACAATGCTTTAATTTATTGGTTGGTTAAAGCAGCTTATGGTGGACCAAGTTTCATATGGAATTTTCACACGTTTTGGTTTATTCTCCCATGCCTTGTTCAACCTCTTCTCCCTGCACATACATTCCCTTTCCCCAGGATTCTCCACCTCCACTTCATTCCACTGTCTTCTCCACCTCCTTCTTTATCCCACCCCACCTTTTCTTCCTATTCCCATAGCCCCTTTCCTGTTTGCTGTGCTTACTAATATTTACTCCAACCTGGATATTCATAATGTGAGATAAAACATGATCCGTTTGTCTTGCTGAGCCCATGTCACCTCAGTGCAATGCTTCCTAGTTCCCATTCATTTTCCTGTAAATTTCGTAATTTTATTTTTCTACCCAGCCATATAAATTCTGCGGTATATCAGCATATAATTTTATTATTGACCCATCTGTTAATTGTCACCTAGGCTGATTCCACTTTCACACCATGGCAAAGCATAATGCTTTTAATTTAATAGGATCACATACCCTCCCTACTGCAACACCAGTCCCAGTTGGTGGCACAGAGCTGGTCCTCACAGTAGAATTCTTGCACAATTGCACTACCTCGTGCTGCCAACTGAAACCTATTTGAAGGCAAAGTCTGCCTTACACATCTTTGTATCCTAATAGTTAGCTTCAATGCCTTGACTTAGGAAGTTATTAGTAAGTATTTACCAAACAGAGCTCTGGGCAGGTAAGGTTTTGAACAGTTGGTTTTACAGAGGAGAAAGTCATGAGATCAGCATAGTTGGCAGGTGTCGGGGATGGTGTCGGGGAGCTTTGCTCACATGAATGGTTGTGAGTGAGAGCGAAGGGCAAGAGTAGAGGCGTAGACCATGAAGGAGACTACAGTGCAGTTCCTTGTCACCCAGCCCATACTAGAACACAGAAATCTTATAATAGAAACTTAAATGGTCATCCAAATGGGTTTTGCCCTTGTCTGTTTTCTCAGAATTTCCTCTGGTCCCCTTGAAATGTTGATACAAATCATACTGTTCTGAAGTGGAAGAGGGGCCTTAAGGCGCAGCATGCCATCATGGAAAACAAGACAGACCCTAGATCCCTGAGGGTCTTTGGACCCTCTTTCAATACTCTTTACATTAGGGTTTTTTTTTGTTTTTGTTTTTTTTTTAAGAGTGTGAGAGCAGAATTGCTTGTTCCACAACTCCTGTGCTCTGGACATGACAGACTTGGGTTAGAGTACCACAGCATCATCCAGACACTCCGTGCGGCTGACCATCTATCTGTCAGTGCCTATGAGGTGCTGGTGGCTGAGATGCCTTTATGCCACTGATGAGAGAATAAAATCAGCCTCCACAGGGTTTCTTCTTGATTCCAAAACCAAGGTCATTAAACTTACAGCCCTGTGTCTCTCTTCTCTTCCTATGATAATTATGTCCACATTGCTGTGTTTTCCCCCTTCTTCCTGCTAGTAAGTTCAAGTATCAGAGTTGATTCTTAGTCAGTGTATGCAGGGTTGGACTGTGAAATCGCCTTGAGATCTTATGGGGAAATAATAATGTATTAAAAAGTATACTAAGGCTGAGCGGTGGTGGTGAATGCCTCTAATCCCAGCACCGAGGAGGCAGAGGCAGGCAGATCTCTGTGAGTTCGAGGCCAGGCTTGCCAAAAAGTTCCAGGAAAGCCAGAGTTGTTATACAGAGAAACCCTGTCTCAAAAAACAAAAACCAAAACAACAACAAAAATGTATACTGAGTGTTCTTTAAAAAACATTCTCAGATACAGAATATCTACATGGTCCAATATGAGAAAAGGCTCAAGAGAAAAATGCAGTCCATTATCTATGAGACAAACAGAAGAGGGATACTTAATGAAGTTTTTCTGGAGCAGTGTGAGCTGAAAAGGAAAAGGACCGAGGGTAAACTCAATGACCTTCGTGCAAAGCTGGCATTGCTGCTGCAGAAACTTCAACTGGTGAGTGGAGAGTGAGGGGTAGGAATGGCTGGGTTTTTTGTCTGGGTTTCTCTCCAGCACTTAACTTACCCTCCTTGGGTAAACAGCTTAAGGCAGTCCCTGCTGTTAATTGTGCTACTAAAGTCTGGGAGGGCTCAGATCAGGGTTCAAGAGCTCAGGAGCATTACTGTGGTAGATTGTTGGGGACAGACAGGCAGGCAGCAGACAACACGATGGTGGGACTCTGAGGGGGGTTCAGACACTAACACTGTGACAGACAGGCAGTATGCTGAGTTCTCTGAAGAGAGGAGTCAGGCCCATATCGCTGAGCTGGACCACTAATATATGTTCTTTCATAAAGACCCACTTCTCCAGACTAGAAATCTAGGAACCCGAAAGTCTGTTAGTTAGTTAGTTAGTTAGTTAGTTAGTTAGTTAGTTAGTTAGTGACAATATTTTCAGTACAGTGTCTGTCCATATCTGTGATGGGTAGGTCTGCCGCTGCTACACTGAGCAGCAATCTGGTCTGGGTAACCATATTCAATCAGAAGTCAATTAGCTTTTAAAATGTAGATTAGACCGTTTAAATTTTTCTCTACTTCTAGAATCTGCCTGGGCTATTAGTTGCTAGTTGTCTTCGTGTCTTTTTTCTTTCGCTGTGATAAAATACTTGGATGAAATGAGCTGTGGAGAGAGGAGTGTGTTTGGTTTGCACTGCAAGGATGAGTGCATCATGGAATCAAGGCACAGGAGCTTGAAGCTGGTCACATTGCATCCGCAGTCAAGAGCAGAAAGCAATGAATGAATGTTGTTGCTTAGGTTCCATTATCCACTTATTTTCCCAGACTCATGGTGGGAGAGTCTACCCACCTCATTTAACAGGCAAGGCAATCCTCCACGGGCATGCCCAAGACCTGCTTCCTAGGTAATTCTAGAATTCTACCAATCAGCTTCTCAATGCCATGTGTCCAGTAGGCAAAAATTTCCAACATTTAGAAAGTGAAATACTTCAATTATCTTCACTCTTAATTCCAGAGGGAGAAGTTAAAACAAAACAAAAATAAGGAGACATCATAAATATGAATTATTGTCAGTTTTGTTTGTATGCTTCCATGATGAATTGAAGTAATGAGGATTGGTCCATCTCCTCTTATTGGCATATATTCACTGTACATAGTGACTCATTTCATAAAAACATAGTCTTTCAAGTATATCATGCCCCTTTCCCACATCCCACCAGGCCTGTATGTGGTCCAGCTTCTATGTAGCACATAGAAATCTTGGCTATATCAAAAATTTAAATACAGTAGAGAAGGTTGTAAAGGCTTTCTCTGGATTCTGGAAATAAATGGAGAAATCTAAGCCAACAATGAGTTTAAGGGGCGTATGGCATTTTGGCCTTAGATACCAGTTGTGAGGACCAGTGCAGTGTGAGGAGGCAGAACTGAGACCCTATAGAGAACCCGGAGGACTGGGAATCACTTTGTCCTTGAAGGGGCTGGGGAAATTCACCATATATCACTACAGAGTAGGATGAACATGGACTTGAATCCAGACTGCATGGGTTTCTGTCCAGGTTGTGAACATTCTGAAGTGGGAGTTCATCTTCTCTGATATATTCATCTTCAGCTTTTATAGGAATTCCTTCTATATCAAGTACAAAAATGAGGCAGAAAATACTTCCTTTTGATTTTTAGTATACTGCCAGAAGAGGAATCCCTCTTAATTTTGATGATCTGATAAATGATTAAAAAGCTACATCATCAGAGAGCAAAAAGATAATTAGTGCTAAACAGTTTCATATTATAGTAATTGTATTTGCGCTTCTGTCAACAACAATACTTCAACCAGTTCTTGAAAGAGGAAAATACTGACTTCCACAGAAGAAGAAAACATTATTCAAATCCTTAACCACTTGTAGGCATAACACAAGATTAAATGAGAGAAAACATTTGCAAAGGTTAAGAGCACCAATCAGACGTGATGTGGGGCTGTACCCACATGACTCAGGAAGATGTCTGCGGGAGGCTGCCAGGATGGCAGGGATAACAGCTGAGCTTCTCCCACTGGAGTGACTGCGGCTTCTCTCTTCCAGGGTGGTCCAGAGGGAGGCCTTGAGCAGATTGATGCCTACTTAGAAGCTTTGCTGAAAGAAGATCATCTGACCACTTTAAACGGAAGAGCTCTAGAGTCAGGGCAAGCGAAAGATACAGAAGCGTGAAAGGATGTCTCAAAAGTCAGGAGAGGTGTTTCTTTTTAAAACTGCTGATAAGAAAGCTGGAGAAACCTTTTAGAGAACATCCCCTTCTTATTGCTACTGTAAAATTTAGCCCAGCTCTACAAAGCTTTGTGTGTTTTGAGACAGGGACTGATTTGCTACTCAAGGTTTCCCTCGTGCGGTTTCCTAACTCTTCTCATTCTACCAGCAGTCTTTTCAAGAGTTGTCCAGAAAAGTTTTCTAGAGCTTCCCTCTGAGCTGTAGAAAAAGAGAAACTGCCACTTAAGTTTAAATTTTGCTTTAATTGGATTTTGATATGTTTTTATGCTAATTTTGTTATTTAGGTAGAGTAATAGGATAGTCATTGTAAGTATAATATACACATATTGTAGTGTGTAAGAATTGTATTTTTACATGTTTATGTATTACAGAAGGGTTTTACGTTTTACTCACTGGTTGTTTTGTTTGATTAGAAATATCTGCTTCTTTGGAAAGCACAAGAAAGCATTAAACATTCGTTTGTGGAATTGTGTCTTCATTTATGTGGTGTACCTCCTATAGCATTTGGAACATGTGAGGGGCCTCTAGTGAAGCCGTCATCTGATTTGTGTTGTAAACTGTTGTTTAGTCTTTCAAGAGCCTGCTCCTGCCAGTTTTCCTACTAAAATTCTACATTGGCGTGTTTTATCAATTACTGGTGAGTCTATTACCATTCAATGTTTAGAAACCATACCGGTAAACCATTAAACAGCTGAAAACATGGATGTAGTAATATTCAAAAGATGTTACATTTCCCACTCAAAATACCTTTCATGATTATTTTACATCATATATTATTACATATAATTTATTTTTAAATTACTTCTCTTATACTTTCAGCAACTTTTAATATATTTGAAAATCTTTGATTTTTATAGAATTTATTTGAATACAAGATATAAGAAATCACACAGCTATATTTCCACATATTTTCATATGTATGAGCTGAGACTAAAAGATATTTTCTCTTTAATGGTTTCTTATTATTTATTTCTCAGAAATACTAAAATTTATTTAGCCATTCCCCATCAGTAGATGTTTGAGTTTGTTATCTGTGAAGCAGAGGTTTGCCCATTGAATTAATGTATACATATGAGTCACTATCCTGAAAAAAAATTATTAGTTTCACTCATGTGTAGTTGTAGTTGTCAAATATCCTAAAGTATTTTTTTTGTTCAAGGAATTTATGATGGTTAATCTTCATTGTCATCTTGACTATGTTTGAAACCACCTGGCAAACACACCTCTGAGTTTGCCAGAGTAGATACTACCAGAGAGGTTTAACTGAAGAAAGACTCACCTTGAATGTTGGTGGCACTGTCCCCTAGAGTAGGGTCCCAAGTTGACTGAACCAGGACAGATACAGCCAGCTGAGCAAGAGCATTCATAGGCCTCTACTTCCTGATTGCAGAGGTGGGGAGCATGTTCCTTCAGTTCTCTAGCACGCTGAGCTGTGCCCCCTCCAAACTGTGAGCCAAAGCAGGTCATTTATTCCTTACGTTAGTTTTGTCAAATATTTTGCCAGGGCAATGACAAAAGTAATTTAACAGCTATCATCTAATAGCATTCTGAGAAATGAATTAATATACATATGTTCCTCATCGCTCTATAACGTGTGAGCCCTTCTGACTTCACAGCTTCACTGCATGATCAGCCTGTGCTTCCTGATCAAATAAAAAATTGTGAATCCTTGTACATTTAAGGTCCGTCTGCTGTGTTACTAGTTGGACATCGTCTTAGTTTTTATTAGCACTCAAATTTTAAACTTTGACCTTTGTATGTGTTTCTGTTGGGTGAAAGGTATATTTCTGATTTGTAAGAACAGTTTTCATCAGAAAGAAATTACCTTTTTTTACAGTATATGGAAAAATATTTCCATAATTTTTCAGTTCCTAAATGTTTTATTGTATTTCAAGGAATCCATATAAAATTTCATCTTTTTGTCTAATATCCATTTTTAATGATTTCTGTAGTTATATTTAGAGATAACTTCATTATGCTAGTTATTTTTAACAATATTTTCTTATACTTTTAATACTTATTAATATATTTTTATATGTTTGATTCATCTAGGATTAATTTGTTATAAGATTTAAGCTGGAAATCCTTTGTTTGTGTATTTTCACATAGCTACAGCCTGGTCCCATAATTATATACTAATCAATAATTTCCCAACTGATCTGAAAGTACACCTTTATCTTTAAAATGACATGAAAGGAGGAGGACTAGTAAGGAGGAAGAGAGTCAGCAGGAGTGGGATGGGAAGAGATATCTGTTATCTAAATTTAATAAGATTTCATTAGTTTGAAAATATTTAGCCTCCATAAACTCATGGGGAGTGGCACTATTAGGAGCTGTGGCCTTGCTGGAGGAAGTGTGGTCTTGTCTCAGAAGGCTGGATGGAACAGGCCTTTATTCCAGACCTTGAGGCTGGAGGACATACCTTTAGACTGCGCCCACCTTCTGCTGGAAGTGTGCCACCGTGGGGAGCAGGCTTTGAGGTCTTTTTCTCAAGCTTCACTTGTTGTAACAGTCAGTTGACTTCCTGTTGCCTCTGAGTCAAGATGTGGAACTCTCGGCCCCAGCACCACATCTGCCTGTACACTGCCATGCTCCCTACCATGATAGACTGAACCTCTGAAACTAAGGGAGCCCCCTCAATTAAATGTTTTCAGTAATAAGAGTTTCCATGGTGTCTCTTCTAAGACAGGTAAACATGATCAAAAAACATAGAATACATGCACAAAGTTATAAACCATTTAAAGCATCCCAAAATGATCTTACATTGGCCCTACTTCTAAAACTTTGTTTTTAAAAATTATATTGATTTTTTCCCTTATACCAGACTCACAGTGTCATGATAAGCTAATTAATAATTTTATTTTACAAAATTTTTGTGTCTACCTTTATCTGTTCACTCCTCATTCGAATTTAAATAAGCTTTTTCAGTTGCCACCCACTCATAAACTTATTTGTCTTTTCTTGTGTTTGTAATGATAGTGTAGAAAAATATAGTTTTTTAAATTAAGTCTTTCTGAAGACAAAGTCAAGATTGATCTTTCTATGTGCTCTAGCCTTGGTATGCTATAGTGCCATTTAAATTTTTCCTTTAAGTATTTTGTCCATTTTTACTTATTTTTATTATAGTTAACCCCGTTCGTTAGCTAATTATAAATGATAATATTTTCCCATTCTCGTATGACTGGAAAATGTTTGAAACAGAAAGAGTCCTGTGTTTTTAGATTTTGATATTATATATAGTAATTCTCAGAAAAGAAACAGTTAAATTTTCTCTGAATTAGGAAGTCAATACTATGCAAATAAATTTTAATGTGAATAAATTAAAAATAATAAACTATGTATAATTTATATGAAGAATAATAATTTTAGCATTTCAGAGTCTTGTATTTTAAATATATCCCAAGCTTTCTTTCACATGAAAGTTACCTTCCTCTATCATCATCAGTGCCCGTTTTTCCTTTAATGTTAAAATTGACGATTAGTAAAAGCGAAGGGTAATAAGAAGTCAGTATTTTGAGCCTCTTCTGGTAGACATTTTGGGTCTGAAGAGGGACAGCTCCAGAGGACAGTTTCTACTCAACGAAGTCATTGTCCGTGCCAAGTCCTTGGGACCTCACTATCCTTTCCACTCCACCTAAGAAATCTCATCCACTCTAAGGATTTCAAGCAAAGCCTCTGAACAGATGAATTTCAAACACTATGGCCCTGTTGTTCATCTGTTATTTAAATTTAATTACGAAACAGAAATGTTTTTGTGAAAGTCTGCATTTGGTCCAACTGAAACATTTAATGGTACTTACTGTAGCTACCTCCCTTTCTATCATGCCAGTTCTTAAAGCTCCAGTGGATCCGAGTCTTAGGGAACCTTAGATATTAAATAGGTTGTCAGTCAGGACTAATGCAGAGCCCCGGCTATAAACTGGACCAGTATAGGAATGAGAAAATGAACAGAGTTAGATTAGATGAGGAAAACAAGATTTTATGATCAAAACAATTAGATTACCACCTGGAGAATCTAGTTCTAAGTATGGTTTACAGAAAGCTGTTTGGGACAGTAGAAAAGTTGGTTTCTACCACTGAACTGTAGACATGCACCTAGGTTTATTGTGTCAGTCTCAGGTCCAGTTGGGACGTAGCTAGAAAAAGATGAATTTATAAACTGCAGTTAGGTAAGATACAAACCTGAGAAAGAGAAGGAAGGAGGACCAGAGAGAAACAAATAGGGTGAAGAATGCTGGGGACTAATCCTTTTACACCTGTGAAGATTTGTCACTGTGATGGGTTTAGCAAAGAAGCTGAATGGTCAAAACCTGAACAGGATAAAGTTAGGCAGGAAAGCCAAACTGAGAATGATGGGAAGAAGAAGGGCAGAGTCAGAGGAGTTGCCATCAGTCACAGAGAAAAACAAGATGGACTGAGCGTTTATAACTAATATTGAGTGTCTGTGTTGGTTATTTGGAAATTAGCAGGTAGGAAAGAAAATTCTACCTACAAATGGCTCCCAAATGTTCAGCAACGACATCCGCATAAAACTTGAGAAAGCTTAAAAAAGAATTCTAAACACACAAAAACAGAGTAAAATGTAACCGATTTTCTTGGATAGAGTCTGTTTGCTAGTGACAAGCAGAAACACAGCTCCTTTAAGAGACAGTGTCCTGACTCAGGGCTAGAAGCAAAAACCTCATAGTTCTTTAAGAGGCTCTGCTACCAAACACTTAAATGGAGTTCATGAGCAGTGGTCAGTGCAATACTCGGTAGCAGCATGGACCCAAAACTCCCCAGAGTTGGTGTGGTCAACATGGCTCTTGTAGCAGTACCTCCTCCATGAAGCTAGGGTCTTAGGAAACCAAGCAGGGTGAGTCAGCTTCCAAAGCAGAGGTTTATATTCTAGCCACACCACTTAACAGTTTATAAGCTGATGTGATCAGAAAAAGATTACAGATACACAATAAAGAGAGATTCAGATGAGAAGAAAACCCTCTAAATGAATTGCAATGTGTTCAAAACATAAACATAGGCTTGGGAGAGAAAAGAGAAGGTATAGCCAGCCATAAAAAGAAATATATAGTTTTCTTTAAGTATATTTCTTAAAAGGGAGTTAAGTCATATAAAAGAAATAAGCCATATAAAAATAGAAAATACACAGAGTGTCTGGATCCTATATATATTGTGTTGTCTTTGAATTTTTTGGCTGTTAAGAGACATTGGATTATGAAAACTGCTAGATTCAACCAACATATAAATTTGAAAAATATTTTTATTTCAAAATTTAAGTCAAAAGCTGTGTTACTTTGGAGGAGAGGTTATGCTTTTATTTCCACAGGAAATGAGAAACTGTGGATTCGTTTCAGTTTAAAAAAAAATCATGTTTGATCATGACTATAGACATAAAGAAATAAACCTAAAAGAATTTTACCCATTCAACACATTAAAAAAATTTCTTCTTTGGCTGACCTATGTGCAGTACACAGTCTACACTTGTATTAATACAAATATGTATGTTACCTTTAAAAGTTTATATATACTCAGGACCTCTGGAAGAGCAGCCAGTGCTCTTAACCACAGAGCCATCTCTCCAGCCCCTAGACAGCTATTTTAGATAGGTAGGTGGTCTTCAAACACTTCAGAGATCTAAAGAATATGGCATTTAAGATATTTTAATAACATAAGGTTTTGATGGCTGTGAGACATGTCTGCTCCTGGTAGCACTAATCTACTTCAGAAAAGATGATGAGCATTAAAGAAATTTCACATGGAGTTTACTTTCTTTGTGGCAAATGTCAAGAAATTGCCATTGCCTTGACTGTTGATAGTATACTGTACAAATTGGACAAGCAGGACACAAAGGAAAATGACTGCTGAACTTTGCCAAGACAAGCCAGAGAGTCCTTCAAAATTACTGCTTCACAGAAATGTCTATCACATATACTAGGCCTATAGGCAATAGTTGGATGCCCCAACATTACAGAAGAGGTTTGGATGACTGCCCAGGCATCCAGATGTCTCTGTCATTAGTTAATACTTCACCCTTCTGAGGTCGTTGATGGTGCTGAAGACTAGATAGTCATAATTAAAGTTTTACTTCGTTATGATGAAAGGTAAATTTGGTATAAAATTTTAGAGTCACAAAGATAAGTTACATAATAGAGCATTTTCTGTAAATTTGTCAAATACAAATAGACTAGATATTGTAATTGTAATTCTTACTTGATAACTGTTTTTGTTGTATATAATCTTACTATGTCAAAGTTAAAATTTTCCTTTTTAATTAGACAAAAAAGGGGAAATGCTGTGAACTAATCCTTTTGTACACTGTGAAGATTTGTTGCTGTGATGGATTTAATAAAGAAACTGACTAGCCAGTAACTGAACAGGATAAAATTAGACAGGAAAGACAAACTGAGACTGATGGGAAGAAGGAGGATGGAGTCAGAGGAGTCACCAGCAAAGACAGAGAGAAGCAAGATGGGCATGCTTTTCTTAGAGAAGTTACCAAGCCACGTGGCATAGCATATGTAAGACATATGGGTCAATATGAATGTAAGAGCTAGTAACAAGCCTGAGTTATTGACTGAACATTTATAATTAATATTGAATCTCCATGTTGGTTATTTGGGAACTGGTGGGCAGGAAAGAAAATTCCACCTACAGAAGAAAATAAGA